TCTTACCGAGGGAAATAGCTCGTGTCATGGAAGTTGACTAACGCGTTCACACACATTGCACCCGTTCAACAAAAACTTTACCACTCCTCAAATATAATACTCCTAAAAAATTATAGTTTTTATTCAAAGTATTTTGGGTCAAACAAAGAGGCCCACGAGAGGTTTCAATATAATAAATCGACACTAAGAAATTAACCTTTCTTATTGACCGAAAAAAAATTAACCTTTTTATTTTCTGGATGTAAATGATACCATAGAAATTTTGTAGAATTACGAAATCTTGCAAATTTTTCGATAATTTATTTATGGAATCTAGCAAAATAACTTTGATTTTAAATGATAACAACGGAATCTTGTAGAATCTAACAGAATTTTTGAAAATTAATTAATAAATTAAACTTATGAAAATATTGATAAAAGTTTTTTTTTACGAAGTGAAATATTTATGTTTACAAATGTATTAAATTTTATAAAATAATAATTTCATTAAATTGTTTTGTAATCCAAGCTATTTCATCAATACTTTTCGTTTTATATTTTTGTTTAGCAAAAATTATAAATATTTTTTTAATTATTAACTACTAAAATTTGTAAATAAATTTAAGTTTTTATTCATTTTTAATCTTATTAATATATCAAACAAATTTATTGACATTTTTTATTTGAATAACGGAATAACTGAAATTTATTCAAATCGATTAACTGATACAATAAAAAAAATATAATTATTGATTTATTGTAGATTTATAAGTTTTTAGTTAATTGTAAATTATTGTAGATTTATAATTTATTATAAATTTATCGTAGATTTATATTTTATTAATTTATTATAAATTTATATAATCTTTTACAAAAATATTATATACACAAAAGTTCAGAATAATCATTACTAACAATATTTATAACATAAATGACATTAACTATTAAAACAAAATATTATAAACATTAAACTACGAAGATGATAATATATATTTTATCGGAGCAATTACAAAAATGCCACTTTTGTGTGCACATTTGTAAGAATGCCACTTAGGGGTGTCCATTTGCAAAAATTCCACTAATTATAAATTTATAAAGCTTATATCTTAAAATTTTAAACCCTAAACAATGTTTTGACCCCTAAAACCCCCTAAACCCTCGTAACTAAACCATAATAGAACATAATTAACCTAAACATAAATAATATAAAGAAAAAATAATTTTGAAAAAGTGACACAAAAGTATGGCAATTTTGTAAAGTGGCATTGAAAAGTGGCATGTTTTAATTTTTCTCTACTTTATCCTACATGCACAATATTCTACAATTCCACTATTCTACCGATTCCATTCCACAAAAGTAAATGGTGTATTCATTCCACAATTCTTCAACATTCCACATTATGTTTAATTAGAAGAATACTGATGGGATGAATAATCATTTTAATTTTTGTTTCTGCAGTGCTAGCTAAATAAGAAGAGTTCAATTATATGGAGCAACTAAATAATTAAGTACTATTATAGTATGCTTTCTTTGTTGAAAACACGGTTTCAGCTATATAAATCGATGAGAAATTTAAAAAAATACCACTTTTTAAGTGCTATTTT